GTTGAATTATAGACAGTTTCACCTATACCTTTCTGTATTGACTTGAATATCACTCCGATTTATTCCATTGTTTTTAGTAGATACAATAGTAAACAATAGTAAATAGTTCAACCACATAAATATTCCAGGGTGTTACAAAGAAAAAGTGGGGCTGCTTGAGGCATGACAGCACCCTATAGTTGTATACTCCAGATCAGGAATAATGTCCTGTCTGCAGAGAAGCGAGCCTAAGGCAGTAGATTCTCAGAAAGTTAAAGTGAATGCAAGTTACTTTTCAAACTGTGAAAAGAAGAGAGAACATTGTTGAGCACCAGTTGCATTCATCCATTCTTATGTCTTTCATTTATTTATTTCAAACCAGCAGGTGTATACAAACAGGACAACACAAATGCAAGGTCTGCTTGGTTTAAAAGGGGAAGGATGGGAGCTTACACATATAAAACCACCTCCAGACCCTTTTCACAAATCATTACAACACAAAACATTCAACACAACACAAGACATACACACAGAGGCCCAATACTCACCAACACTACACCCCAATTCTCAACAACCCTACACCCCAATACTAGCCAACCCTACACCCCAATACTCAACAACCCTACACCCCAATACTCACCAACCCTACAGCCCAATACTAGCCAACTCAGTTTCCACAAACATCAATCTTCTCCCACAGCTCCTGATTGGACCAAAAAAAGCTCACTTTCAACCACTTATAGAACAATGTAACTAGTTGATGTTTAACATTGCTGAACATAAATATAATGGATTTATGTCCATTCCATCCAGAAAAAGTCAAATTTGATTATTACATGTGACCCTCAAACAGCTCTCAACTCAAAATGTCAAATAGTGACAATGCCAAAGACAGCATGTTCTGAGTCTAATTGACATAATATTACTGATGCACATTTTATACTCAAAGTACCTAAAACAATTAGAAATCCTAGACAATTACTTTAAAATAATAGTGAAGATACAATCCTTCAGTTGTATGCACAGCTAAAAAGAGTTGATTGGAACATTGTCAGAGTAAAATCCTGTTTAACATTTTCAGAAAGACAGTTCCAGCTTTAATCTGGCCTCTGAATATGCTCAAACCTCTCCTAAAGGAATCCAAACACAATACGGCATAACAAGACATTAAAGCCGTCTAAAATTAGCACTTCATTAACCCATCATACAGTATGTGCCAGTAACCTGTGCCAGCGGCCCCATGACAGTTAATTAGTGGATGTACAGTATATATAAAAAGCACAGCACCTTGTCTGAAATGTTCAAACATCAACATCAACCTTTACTTTCCATCAGTCGCCGTGAAACAAAACACAGTTGAGACATTTATTTTGCGATGGTCTATTTCTCTGTAATACTTTTGTCGTAAACAATGTCACCAACTTCCCAAACTTTTCAAAGCCCAATCACCGTCTAGTTAACGTCGCACCCGATGTCCTAATTGTCAACAAGAAAGTACAAAACAAGCTTGGTCTTTATATATCTTTGCACTAATGGCCAGCTCAGAGGTACGTAATTGGCTTCCATAATCAAAAACTGTGGGAGTGAGCGGTGTCACGGTGCTGCCACGGAAAATTGCTTCATCTTACGCTTTAGGCGCGTTGCAGTATATACGGCTGGGCGCGTATAGAAATGCAAGTAAATGGTTGTGAGGGTGCATTTGCTCAGCAGGTAAACTGACAGGTAGATTGGAGCCCTCAGGGGAGAGCAGGAAGTCAAATGCAGCAATAGTAATAGACTAGTCTTTTTTATGGCGTTTTTAATTGAGATGAATGGTGAAGACGGGAGCGGCGGTGATGGACAGCGGATGGCGGCGCGCTCATCAGCTCGCAGAGGCTGACTGTGTAATGGTGGTAATCAGTCTAATGACCACTGTTCGGCACTCCACCACTCGTGTCAATCAAACCGGAGGGCTATAAATAGTCGGAGGCAAATGTCAACTTTCATCTGAGGAGAGAGGCCCCACAAGTGCCGGCAACACAACGAACAACAAACTGGATATGATTCGGTGTACACAAAACACAGAAACCGCTGCACTGTTTTCATGGTCAAGCAAGCATTGTTCCTACTTGGGTCCAATTATTCTTGAAAATCATAAACATAGTATCAAGTCAATAGCATTGCAAGAATAACTCCATTTTAAACTTTTGTTCAGAAAATGTCTAATATTATTAGTACATGTTGAGACTAAAACTAAATATTACATTTTAATTGATGAAATATCAGTAATTTGATATTTAGGATCAATCAGAAGTCATTGGGTGAGTGTCGAGCATCAATTTTGACATTGGTCCTGAATGGTGCTGTAAAATACTTTGTTTTTGTTCATTCACCATAACTATCTTTACAGCACAGTAATAATATGGAAAGTGTATATATATAATTTCTTGGGAAAAAGTGGTGAATTATTGTTTTAATATTGTAGTAATAAGACATGATCAGGTTTTGAGATAGAAATACATTTAAAAAAAGGTTTATTTTTTCTAGTTTTTGGCGCCCTGTGCTCCGTATCCTGTGTCCCGGGTCACTGCTCTTCTAACATACCTTGGGTTACTTTATCATTCCACCGCATAAAAAAAATTGTATTTCACATTGTGTATTGAGCGGCACGGTGGCTGAGTGGATAGCACTCTCATCGGACCAGGGCCTTTCTGAGAGGAGTTTGCATGTTCTCCCCGTGTCTGCGTAGGTTTCCTCCGGTTACTCCGGTTTCCCCTACCACTAAAAACATGTACAATAGTTCTGGCATGTGCCTCCTGTACTGGCGACCCCGTTCCCATCTCTGTGTGTGAGAGACAATTGCCCAAAATAATAACAATTGTAAACCGCTTTGTGACTGTGGTCTGTGAAAGGCGGTATAAAAATAAAGATTACTTACTTCAACACCGCCATGGACTCATCAGTACTCAACATACATTAAGTATTGCTGCGATAACAATACCAAGAGCACAGCATTAATTCAATTCAATTTGGTCCATTCATCAACCGCTAATCATCTAACAGTTCTAACACAGGAAATGCAATAATAGCAAACACGTAGAAGGCATTGTCCCATAGGGAGCTTTATGACCACTGCCCTTAGACAGATGAATAGATAGATAGATAGATAGATAGATGTCCATAAATGTCCAGGTCCTGGATCGTCACTGTCCTTAGACACTCCTGCACTGGCAAGGAACAATATTGGGAAAAAAGCAGGCCAATAATGAGAAGGGAGCATTAGGATGTTGCTATAAGTTGCTCCTGGCCTTATAGCCTGGCCTGATTAAACCATGAATCCTGCATTTATCTTGATGAAGGATCGTGTCCTAATGTAAACCAAGAACCATACAGTATTTGCTTTCCATTGGCCAAAAACCGCAATGAAATCTAGTGTGTGGTCTATTACTTGCATGTCCGCTCTGTTATTATAGGTAGCTTGGTATGAAATATTAATATTGACTGTAGACGCCGGGGCACTGGCGCTTGTCTGGCTTGTGCTCATATAGTCCGGCTCATAAAGCATTCACCGTATCTCTACACTGCACCATCCGCACTTGGTGTGTAGTCCCAGTATAGTCTCTCCATATTTGATGACGGAGAGTATGCTATGGTTCTAATGTCCACAACAGAGTATAGATAAGAATAGATAACATTTATTCATCCCTCAGTGGGGAAGTTTCAGTGTCCTTTTTGCGCAGAGGAGGAATAATAGAACTCAGGATGCCCAAACACAAGACAAGATCTATTATTCATTCATCAATGAACATAATTGTTTTTTTAATTTTTATTTTTTTAAGACATGTTAATATGAAATCATGAGACAACCAGCGCTTTTATATGTTTTTTACCACATGTTGCACTTAACTCACAAACCACTGTTTGTTTTTTGTTGCTCTTGAAATGACTCTTTGGGGTCAAATGACATCCTCTAAGTTTCAAATATAATTGTAGATGATTATTCCCTGTTTGGGCTGAATAGTAACATATTTAAATATTTTCCCATTCAGAAAAAAATTAAATAAATTAAAGCCGCAAGCGGCAAGCGGCAATGAAAGGCCTCGCCACTCTTGCGACCGCCTCCCAAGCGCCAGTCCCACAAGCGTCACGCGAATTGGCAGCCCGATCGGACCAGGATTACGTACATAATACCTTATTAATGGGATAAAGTGCGCCCCTAGTGGTCACATCCGGGACATGCACCCTCTACGGTGCATGTCCCGTAGAATAGTATTTTGCTCGTACTAGTGTAAAGATTTGATTGTGCAACTTTAAGTATTTGAAAAGTTTAGGTCAGAAACCTTCCATAGGTGGCGCTGTAGAGTCATATAAGGTGTGTATTTTCACACCATTACGCTCAGGCCATTACCAACTGTTAGTGATGTGAGTTTCAGCTCTGTAGGTCTGAGCCTGTGGTCAGGAGAGCATCAAACATGGAGAAATTCCCCACCACCTTGCATTAAAACCATGACAAAATTCTAACTTTTTTGTGATGATTGCATAACTTCAATTCATCCAGATGGAGAAATGACATGGTAGTTTTCATGTGCGATGAAAATCCAGGGACTAGTACGAAGCCAAAAATATGACACCCTGAACTGCCTGTAGATGGCGCTGTTGCACTCACAGTTGTGTGTTGCATATCGTTGTGTTCAGAGTCATACGCTGTATTTGTGAATTCATTTCTAGCCTCATCGGCCAAATATCGGCTACTCTGCAGCTGAGGTCTGTCACTGCAGACAGCAGCTGGAGTGTCTCCTTCTCCAACATGGTCATGTGATTCTGAGCCTCTGTGATGATGCTCCTCTCCTTCTCCAGTCTTCAGCTTCAGTGTCTCTTCACTGTGACCTTCTGTTGTTCCTCTCCTCCTTCAGATCAGATCTCAGAGAGGAAACTTCTGTCTGTCTGAGACCTGATCCATCAGTCCGTGTGTCTGTGTCTCAAGTCTGTTCACTTTACTCTGAGAGTCCACAAAGAGGCTCCTTTCCACACTTCGGTGCACTTCACTCTTCAGCTTCTGCGTCTCTTCCTGCAGCAGGTCCACTGTACGCTGAGCTCTCCACCTCCAGGGCATGTGTCAGAGAGGACACCTGCTTTTTCAGTTCATGCGTCTCTTTCAGCAGCACCTGCTGTTTACCGTGGGCCTCCTTCATTGAGGACTTTCTTCTGCCAGAGCTGATTTATAAAAGGACACTTCACACTGTCTTATGTCTCCTTCTGGAGCAGGTCCACTTTGGTCCGAGCCTCCATGGCAGTGCTCTGCCTGCTGTGCTGTGCAGGTGCTGAGGTCTTACTTAACCCTCTGCTCCTATGTGTCGGCTGGCTCCTCAGCATCTCCTTCTGGTGCGTTTCCTTTAGTAGTTTATGTGTGAGAGACGTCACCTGATCCTCCAGACTCTGGTCTGAGGTGTACTGCCTATTATGGAGGCTGGAGTTGGGGTTGATGGTAGTCAGGACATCTCTGGCTTCCGTTTGTCACACATGTGGGACGCCGGGTTATAGGGCCCCTCCTCTGGGTGTCTGCGGGTTTTGTGACCAACTTTCTGCTTTCTCTGCTGGTTACTGCTTTGGTTTTCATAACACAGTACTAAACGGATCATGTCCTGCTCAGCTTTTGAAGTCTGCTGGAATCAGGCTCTCACAGATGTCGCCACACATTAACTCAATGGACCAAAGAAACGTATAACATTATCAAAAAGCAAAAGTCAGTTGGACACATAATCAAAGCCATGTCGGTCCATGAATATAGCCACAAAAGTACAACATTCCCTTCCTCTCGTTTGGATTAACTCCACATTTGTAAAGAGACAGAAGAGCGGCCACTGGCAAAACCCATGCTAAGTGGTGCCAACACAATTGATTTCTCACAGAGCCTCACTACTTCAGTAAAAGGCTGCGTCTGACAACTCATTCAGTTTATCAGGTACGGGCTGCATTAAACACCTTTGAGCCTTTTCAATACTACTTTATGTTACCTCTGTGACTTATATTGAGCCATAAATCTGCTGTAATGGGATTAAACGTAAAGCACACATTTATAAATCTCCTTGCGTGGCAGGTAGGAAAACGTGAGGTGAGACATGTCCATTTGGAAATACAGAATGTGTGGCTACAGCTCACAAATGTGGCTTGGAAGTCATGGTTGAAAACACAGGTAAGTACTAGAATTTGCAATTTACAAAACAGAAAAAACATCAAAGTATCCAAGAGATTCTATGTCAGAATAAGACTATTTGGAGATCAAAACTCTGCAAATTAGATGCCTGAGAACTGCATGGAAGCTGGGGTATGATTTGGTCTGAAATTAGTCTATACAGATTCTATTCAAGTTGTATTTTTTTTTTTTAAGCTGTGGTGCATAATTTTCAAAGAACAAAAATATCCCACCATGCACTAAAATCCACCTACCTGGTTACTGGCTCTTTGCATTGTATCTCTGCGTGGGAGGCCAAAAGACCTACGTGTTTGTATTTTGGCCTCCCACTTTTGAATGAATGGTTTATTTGATGGATTGGTGCATTTAAATTAATACAATTTACATACAACAAAAGTTTCAACCAAAAAAGGAATAGACTGAAACAATGCTTATTTATGCCCATCCTTTAAACCACGTAACTGCTACTGAATCAGCTCATCATAAAATTAAATACATTAACAGAAAACATTTTTGTTACTTACAAAAATGTTTCTACTTTTAGATCAGGTTTATTATTGAAAAAGAGAGAACCACCCTCACTGAGCCCAAAGCGTCAAAAAGTGTCTCACAAGGCTCTTTCTAAAATGAATGCAAAAATGATTTTCTAAGTAGATGAAGAAAGCAAGTTGTGGTCATATTTTACTCTTATTTATTATACGGCTCCTCAGAGCAGCAGTAGAACGCTCCATTGATTTGAATGTAATTTCAAAACGTTCTACCGGTCATTATTTTCTATAACGGACCTCTCAAAACAATAATGACCGCTGCCCATGGCAACGCTCTCTCTGCTTGTCTTTCAAATGCGTGGATAACTCCGCAAGTAGTTCCGGCACTCCTGAGCTAGCCACGCTCAATCAACACACTTAAATGTTAATCGGAGAATACTTATACATTCTTCACACACGTGCACAGAAATTTTCAGAATTTTCTGGTCTTGTCTTCATGACAAAAATACTATTTCTCTGCGCCAAAAAGCGATCGTGAAAAACCCGGAAGTAGTTCTGGCCGCTCAATAAACGCAAATACCAATCAATCAACGCAATGAAATGTTTATCGGAGAGTGAATTATACATATCCAGTCTTAATACAAGTGCACGGAAGTTTTCAGAATTTGCCGTTTACGTTTTCATGACAAAAACACTGATGTAATGCGAGAAAAGGCGATCCCGAAAAACCCGGAAGTAGATACCGGCACATTTTAAGATACCGGCACATTTTCGGACACATTTGCAGAGGATCGAATTATGGATTTAGGTTAGGTTTATGTATGGGTCACTCACCGCTGATGTTCAGAATTCTTTGTTCAGTTTTCATGCAGTTCCAGAGAGTTCTAGTTTGGAAGTTGCCAGCCTAACTGTTGCTAGCATAGCCACACTGCCTGCCCGCGGTTGCCGAGCAACGGGAAAACTTTTTGGGACTACTTTATTTGTTGTCATTAAATAAACTTTTGGCATTCATAAAAGTGATCTGAAGTTTATTTTGTGTGTTAAGTTGGTACAAAGCAGTATAATAAGCGGGATAATGTATAGCATACAGGTCATTATCGGAAAATAAGTACCGACAGGGCGAAGCGGACCCCGACGCGCCCTGTTTAATATTATATATAATATTAATATTATGTAAGGGATATATATATTATCCCTTACATAATATATATATAGACAAAAGAAAACTCAAACAATGGATACGTTATCATGAAACATCCATCCATGTATACGCTTTATCTATCGCCATACACACACACTTCCTCCAGCCCAATTAATCAGGCACAGTACATCCATTGTGTAATCTATGAATTCTAAATACAAAAATAAAGTAAAACAACACTTTCATTTTAGGATTGTTGGTTGCCATTTAGTGGGTCTGAATGTATACAATCATTTTTTGTGACTCACTGTACACAGCATGTATATGTCTCAGTGGCCAGCACAAGACAGGACCTATTTTTCATAATTTCATTATATATTTTTTTCAGTAATAACACTGGTTTCCCCTGGGAGGGAAGCGACTGGAGAAATATCATTTCTGCTAACACACCCATGGAGCTGACATAAAGAGGAGGTGCTGTTAAAGAATACGTGTCAAAATTGTGTCAGAGGAAGACTTCGGAATAACACAACGGCCATAACGCTTTACAGTTCAATGTATTACCTCCGCTTTGACCTTTGAAAGAATGTATAGTGAGTTTAAGGTTATTCTTGGATGATGTGCCCTTTTTTCCAGCTCAGAGAGTTCATAATTTAGCTCATTAGGACTTTTAATCAGTCAATGCAAGATCTGCTGACATTATAAAATCTTAATTATCAAAATTATCAGTTATGGGGTACTTAATTTTTATTCTCCAGAAAACATGTTGTCTTTTGCATCCTTGGCTGTCTGCAGAAGCTGGTCTTTAAAAATCTGACAAACACCAAAAAACTAGATATGGAACTTGACAGTTTTGAGTGCAAGGATAGATTTTATACATTTTGTGTGATGTTTGAGGTACCCCCGCTTTGATGTTCAACTCAAACCAAATTTGTTTTCCGTCACTAGAGATCTATTTTGGAAAACGGCAGCAAAAATATACTTACTTTGCCTTGAGTGAGAAAAATATGAATGATATCATCACATCAGAAAAAGTGCTACATATAAGTCTTTCATATTTGATTTGACTAAGATTCCTTATGCATGCCTTTATATCTATGTGTTTACTTGTCTGCACCTACAGTATATAACAAAGCAAATTCATATTCTTTTGACGTCCTGCTTCTTACACTGGGAATCAAAATAATTCTGACTTTGATATTCCGCCTGTTACTTGTAAAAAGCTATAACCAGAAGCTGCTTTCAAATGTCCTCTCATTAAACTCCTTCCTCTCCAGCCAGTCCCTATTGGCATTATTATCTTTTCGACAGCAAACATCTTTTATATCTCCCTCTCCTCTCACAAAGTAAACTCACTAAACACGCTGTTTTTTCCCAGATCTCGGAAACGCAACAGAATAAATGTCAGGAACAAACTCAAAATGGCAGCGTGTGACAACAAGCGGCCGCAGCTGTAGACGGAGCGGTCTTTCACGCCGTCATCTTCACAATACAAGACTCTTTGGGGGGCGCCAGATATGCTCCGATGGCCACTTTAAACGTACCCCTCCCGCCTGATGACTTCCAGATGGCCGTGCTCCATCTTTAAGGCGCCCGAGTCCACGAGGGAGCGTGGCTAATGGGCTACTAGGCGGTGGTTTTAATGAAATATCACCTTGCTTAGTCAGGAGCAAAATGGCACCACTCACAGCGCTGGGATGTTGGGTATGGTGGTCGCTCGTTTGTCGCCGCGGTTACGCTCTAGAAATAACCCTCAATAGGCGCAAGTAGTCAGTCATATATTTTTTCCCTTACTATTATTGATCTTTGAAAGAAGAAACGTATTGCTTTATTTTTGACCGTTGAACATATTGAGCTGCTTTGTTATTGTTATAGAATGTCAAATAACACAAAAAAAGAAGTCAAGGGTAATCAATGCAACAATCAGCCTGCAACTCCCTTTGCTACCACTGGAGGGAGCAAGGCAAGGCAAGTTTATTTATATAGCACAATTCATACACAAGGCAATTCAAAGTGCTGAACAAAACAAGAAAGCATTAAAATCATAAATAATCACAGAACATTAAAAAGAAAGATACAAATATAAAATCCCTCAGTTGTATGCACAGCTAAACAGAACTGTCTTTAACCTGGTTTTAAACATTGTCAGAGAGGAGGCCTGTCTCATATCTTCAGGAAGACTGTTCCAGATTTTAGCAGCATGAATCTGAAAAGCAGCCTCCCCATGTTTAGTTCTGACTCTGGGCACTAACAGGAGTCCAGTCCCTGTGCTCCTCAGAGTCCGGGCTGGTTCGTATGGGACTAACATGTCACTAATATATTTTGGTGCGAGGCCATGGAGAGACTTGTACACAAGCAGAGCTGTTTTAAAGTCTATTCTCTGAGCCACAGGAAGCCAGTGCAGAGACCTGAGGACCGGACTAATATGGTCGTACTTCCTGGTTCTAGTCAGGACTCTAGCTGCTGCATTTTGAATGTACTGCAGCTGTTTTACAGCCTGTTTGGACAGACCTGTGAGCAGGCCATTGCAGTAGTCTAACCTACTGGAGACAAATGCATGGATAAGAATCTCCAGGTCTGCTTTAGACACTATGTTTTTGATCCTGGCAATGTTTTTTAGATGGTAAAAAGCTGCTGATGTTACTGATTTGATGTGGCTATTAAAATTTAAGTCTGAGTCCAGTATTACCCCTAGATATCTGACCTTGTTTGAAGGTTTTAGGGAGAGAGACTGTAGGTGACAGATGACGCTCTCTCTTTGTTTCTGGGGACCAAAGACAATCATTTCAGTTTTGTCTGCGTTTAGCTGAAGGAAGTTGTTTTGCATCCACCCACTGATCTGTTGGATACAGTGAAGGAGTGAGTCCACTGGTCCATGTTCTCCTGCAGTCAGTGAGACATAGATCTGAGTGTCGTCTGCATAGTTATGATAGGACACTTGGTTTCTGCGTATTAACTGACCTAACGGCAGCATGTAGAGATTGAACAGAAGAGGTCCCAGGATCGACCCCTGTGGTACTCCACAGGTCAGGGTCATATGATCTGAGACACAGTTTCCAATCTCCACAAAGTACTTCCTGTCCTCAAGGTAAGACCTAAACCAACTTAGGGCGGTGCCAGTGACTCCAACCCAGTCCTCTAATCTCTGTAAGAGGATCTCATGGTCGACAGTGTCAAAGGCAGCACTTAGATCTAACAAGATTAAGATTGAGACTTTGCCTGCGTCAGTGTTCAGCCGGATATCGTTTGTAACCTTAACAAGAGCAGTCTCAGTGCTGTGTGGGGGCTAAAGCCGGACTGAAACATATCAAATGAGTTGTTGATTATAAGAAATCTAGTAAGCTGTAGGTAGACAACTTTCTCAAGGACTTTCCCCATAAATGGCAGATTTGAGATGGGACGATAGTTGTTAAGTACCGTAGCATCAATACTGCTCTTTTTTAGCAGGGGCCTGATGACTGCAGTTTTCAGGGCCTTTGGGAATATTCCAGAATGAAGGGACATGTTTACTATCTGTGTGAGTGAAGGTAACAGACTGCTCAGAACAGACTTCAGAAATCTAGTGGGTAGTAGATCCAAGCTGCATGTGGAGGAGCTCAAACTGGAGATTAACTCTTGGACAGTTTTATCATCTACAGGTGCAAAGTGAGTTAGCTCAGAGAGCCTTTCTGGCTGTTGGATGGTTATCTGTGGATTTGAGACAATGGCGTTTTTGATGCCTTGAACCTTGTCATTGAAAAAATTAGCAAACTCATTGCATTTACGTTTGGAAGTAAGCTCTAATGGCATTTGAACAGGGGGATTTGTTAATCTATTAACTGTTGAGAACAGAACACACAGATTGTTGCTGCAGCCTTCAATCATTTCAGAGAAATACCTTTTTCTCGTACTACGTAGCACCCGGTTAAACTCGCACAACTTATCTTTGAAGATCTCGTAATCAACCTGGAGGTTGGACTTGCGCCACTTCCGCTCGGCCCTCTGTCACTTTCTCTGTTGTGCCCTGACCGAGTCTGCTTTAGCCCACGGCGCCTTCTGCTTATTTTTTACTATTTTAACCTTCACAGGAGCAATGGTGTCCAGAACATTCAAAACACTAGAGGTGACAGAGTTAAACAGTTCATCTACAGTAGAATACGATGCATTCTCAAAGTTTATCATTCCCATAACTAGTTCACTCGTATTTTCATTTATGTGTCTTCTTCGTACAGTTGCAGAGTCCACTGGTGGTTTGTTAGTGAAACACATGTCAAAAAAAACACAGAAATGATCCGAAAGAGCAACATTGACCACGTTTACATTTGAAATATTCACCCCCTTAGTAACTAACAGATCTAGAGTGTGCCCTCTGCTGTGGGTGGGGCCACTTACGTGCTGAGTGAGATCAAAGGACTCAAGTACAGAACTCAGCTCATTTGCATTTCTGTCATCAACATTATCCACATGAATATTAAAATCACCTGTAATAACCAAACTATCAAAATCTGTGCATACAACTGAAAGCAACTCGGTAAAATTGTCAATAAAACTGTGACATGACTGCGGTGGCTTGTATAGGACAATGAAGAGTATTGGAGGAGATTGACAAAGTGTTCTCTAAAAATGGCAGCTAAGCCTCCTCCTTTTTTGTTTTCCCGTATTTCAGATTCAAACTTGAAATTTGGTGGTGATGCTTCTATTAAAACTGCATTTCCTGAATTTTGGTCAAGCCAAAAGCAGTCTATTTATTTTTCTTAGCTTGTTTTTTTTCAAATTCAGACATTTCTGGTTGCAAACAGAGCCAAGAATGTGATTGTTTTAGTAATTGCCCAAACGAAATAAGGGAAAAATCCTTTTTTTAGTGTGATGCCATAGTGGAACAATGAAATCATACTATTACAGAACTGAGACAGAAGCGCTTAGTCAGAAGGAGCGGGGTCACATGTTCATGCCAGATGTATCCTGTTCTATATTTTTTTGGAAAAAAGCCAGGTTGTTGTACAGGAAGTGTAATGTTTCTACAATGGTGCCTAAAAAAAGTGTATTTGTTAACATTTTTTTTTCTTTGAATTACAAAATGCTCTAAATTCTCTTTCCAATGCTGTAACTATTAGGCACAGCTTACAATGCAAATAGTTATCAAGATTGCACCTATTTTTGTGTTACAGTAATTATCAAAAACTGGAAGCTCGCCTTATATCGTAGCGGTCTGGAAGAAGCGAGCAAAGCATGACAGAAGTGAAAATGAACTGACAAACCACTAATCAAACATGTCAGCCATCTTTCACACGCTAATCAGACAGAACTTCCTGGGTGTAAAATCAGCCTCGTGTTCTATTTGGCTCTCCAGAGTGTTCCGTAAGAGGAAAGAATAATGTGTTTCTTCTAAATGTCCTTATTGCATACAAGTGAGGGTTTGTCTTACTGTGCTAGAGCAGCTTTAGATAGATGTGTGGATTGGAGGCGCTTCGCTTTGTGGTGTGGTATTATGGACGTAAACAATAATTAAGGCTGCATAAAGACACATTGGATGGGATGTGGCCTGTTGGGAGGAGATAAGTTCTGTTCACATAGTAGAATTTCATGAGATGAACATTTCAGATGGATCTATATGAAACTCTATGAAAGATATAGGCCCATAAGAAATCTCCAAATGTATGATCCGAAAATATTGATCTTTCTTGTTGTTTTGACGTCAATCAACTCAACAATTTTGTCCTATCGAAGCTGGGGTAAGCTACCTGTCGTTCAAACCACATGACATGGAACTATATATAATGTCATGGCCCCGTCTTGGCTGCCCTCGTGTGGCCATGTATATGTTTGCTATTCTCTGCAGGTGTCCCGGGGGAGTGGCATTGGCTGTGCGTTCATAGGTCTGACACACATAAAAGACCCGCCTCCAGCCTGGGCTCCTGCTGGCTCACTTCACTCCTAGCCGTGCACCTGAGCACCCACACCTTTTGAGATTAGTTTCCTCCAGCTTTCTTTTGTAATAAACTATTTTATAATTGACATTTGTTTGTTTGGTGCATCCTTGGTTATAGCCTAGAGCCGGGTTATAACAAAAACAATCCATCCTACAACTAGTTCCGATTTGAATTTCTTGTCTTTGTGGCCTCCATCTTGGCTTGAGATCCAATACTCTTTTGCAATCACTCCAAAGCATCAAATAAGGGTCCTTTATTTACAATTTTGCAACATATAACATGTTTTCAACTAAGATGAAAATAGCATTAGCTGGTTTGTTCTCTAAATCGGAACAGTAGTTGTCTCTGAGGGCCTTATATAGTTGTTGAATCACCAGCAACAGATCAGTGAGTCAACAGCTCAAACACGGGAAATGCAATGCTAACAAACACAAGGGAACGGGATGTCAATCAATGCCCCAAACCAAATCAATAGAAAATGAATCATCTGAAGAAGCATTACTACGAACCCTGAGTACGATAACACAATCTTTCAAAACAGTCTTCATACTACCATAAGATTTCTATGGACAGTTCAACACACATCTCATTGCAGGTCTTCAGCAAGGTTAGCAAGGTTACACTACTACTGCCCAACAAATCCATACCTCATGAAACACTCACGGCTTTTTAC